GCCAATTTATATAAGATGTATCAAGCTATTAATTATTGTCCGTCAACATTTCTTGTCAAAAATTTTTTGAAGTAGCATGATTGTTTAAAATGGCGGACGCATTTCGAAATCCAACATTTTGGAGAATGTCTTTAGGAACAATTTTCACATATTTGAAAACATGTTGACTTTTTATATGTTTAAAATTACATCAGATGTATCAAGCCATTAATTGTCTTGACTACATAGAATGTTATCATTTCTGGTCAAATTTTTTTGTTTGAGTAGCATGATTGTTTAAAATGGTGGACGCATTTCGAAATCCAACATTTTGGAGAACGTATTTAGGAACAGTTTTACATATTTGAAAACATGTTGAATTTATTTATGTTTAGAATATATGAGATGTACAAAGCTATTAATTATGTTTACATAGAACGTTATCTTCCAAACTAGCATTGCTTTCACCCCTATTTATTAGCATTTCTTCCTTCATTCTCTCACTCACAACACATTAATTTAGTCCCGTTTTCTTTCATTCTTTTAATACCCCCATTGTAACTGTACTTCACTGAAAAATTCTCCAAGAAATTAATTATCAGTTTAACATCCTTAATCCCCTCTTTGTATCTCTTTAAAGTCTGTCAAAGTAAATTAATGGATTCTTTGTTGAAAACTTTGTTTTTGGTCATGTTTTGTTTGTTGTCTCCATTGGTTACTAGTGACTTGGATTTTGTCGATCGGTCAGAATTGTTGAACGTTCCCGTTTCGCATTTTTCTGATTCTGTGAGGTCTACTATGGACACTGTTCATCAGGTGATCTCCACGTTGTCGAATTTCACTGACAAATTGGATGATTTTCGACTCTCTAATGCCCTTTCAGACTGTCTCGATCTATTGGACCTTTCAGTAGATGAATTGAATTGGACTATGTTGGCTTCTCAGGCATCAGATGGTACATTTTCTGCATTCTTTTTGCAGATAAATAGGATTATATCACTTTTTTTTTTTTTTACAAAATTGTCCTGAAATTTTGTAGGGATCAACTAAAATTTTTCGTCTTTACGTAGGTAAAGAAAATAATAGCTCTGAAAATCTACTTGCTGACATGAGGGCATGGTTGAGCGGTGTATTGATAAATCAAAACACTTGCCAAGAAGGTTTTGATGGTACAAAAAGCACTGTCGAGATTTTTGCTGGCGACGGATTAAACAAAATCACATCATCTGTCGACGACATTCTTTCCATGGTACGAACAACCCCAGACGGCACTGCTGATGGTAGTGAAGGCAGTTCTGGTGGCAGGAACGTTAGGAGAAACGACAAATTTCCAGATCGGCTGGAATCCTATGATGGGAAATAAAGGAAACAACATTTATTTGGTGCAACGGTTGGAGATCAATTTGCAAAATGGTGTGTAAGTCGCACCAATTTAATGCAAATAGTTCAAGATGGCCTTAGCAGTATTATATTTGTTGCTTATTATTTCCTCTTACTCGATCTATTTCTATCTACAAATTTCAACACAAAACATTAACAACATTATTGTCCAATATGTGTATCTAGTTTGTTCAAAAGAAAAAGGAAAAAGAAAAAGAAAAATAAAAATCAGCACCCTTAAGGTAGTAAATGATAGCAATGTGAAAATAATATATAAATAAATATATTTTTTAAAAATAANACGGAATTGCCGTTGGTAAAAACGATATCTCTTTGCTAACGGTTATTCCGTGTCTAATGTAGTTGTCTAACATTTAGATGTTTAACCTACGGATATTTCGCAGGTGATGAATCAATAATCACCAATGAACACAATCCGTTGGTAATCAGAAACGGATTATCCGTTGGTAAAAGTAATCCACGTTTAGCTACGGTAATCAACAATGGAATTGCCATTGGTAAAAGCAATATCTCTTTGCCAACGAATATTTCGTGCCTAATGTAGTTGACTAACATTTGGATGTTTCACCTATGGAAATATTCGTTGGTAATGAATCGATAATCGCCAACGAACATAATCCATTGATAATCAGAAACGGATTATCCATTGGTAAAAGTAATCCACTTTTAACTACAGTAATTGGCAATAGAATTGCCGTTGGTAATGGGCGATATCTCTTTGGCAATGGATACTCTATACCTCATGCAGTTGTATAACATTTGGAAGTTTCACATATGGATCCGCAGTTACTAATGGGTATTCTATCAATGATGCATAGCAATTTTTATTAAAAATTAGGATGTTTCAAGCTTTTATCTAAGGAAATTTTGTAGGTGATCCGTTGGTAAAAGTATTCACTTTTAACTACAGTAATCAACTACGGAATTGCGGTTACTAAAGGTGACATACATTTATCAACAACTATTTCGTGCCTAATATAGTTAGCTAAGATTTGAATATTTCATCTACGGGGTATTCCGTAGGTGACATAAATCAATTTTTGTTAAAAAAAGATGTTTCAAGCTTTTACCTATGGATGAATATAATTTCTTTCACCTACGATAAATTTGTTAATGATATTAGGTACATCAATTTTTAAAATGATGAAGTTGAACTAATCGCTCAATGATTAATGTAAATAACGATATTTCATCTAACGTTCGAATTTTTTGACAATGAAGTAATTTAGCTCATGATTGATTGGGATTAAAATTAAATTTTTAGTAGATTTTGATAAATTTTTTTGAAATATATGATTGAAAATATGTGGGATCCACTCCAAACAAGGGCTTAATTACAAAAATACAAAAAGATCAATCTAATTATTTGCAAGAAATACATAGACAAAGCAGTTTATGTACCTGCAATACGACATCCATTTGTTGGGATTCCGTCTTTACAATGAAATCTTGTAATATTTAGTTTCATTGTTGTCCTGCTCGAGCCCCATTAATTTGAAGTAACGTATTATAGCATAGTGATTGATGAATAATGTGTGGTGAAAAAGAAGGTAAAGTTTTTGATTTACGCATAATATTATTTTAATGAAAAATGTATATTTGAAAACGAGTACAGTAGAAAAAAAAAAAGTATAATGTAGAGTGGGGCTCAAAAAGGTGCCATAGTAAGTACTACTATTCTATTATTTAAAATATATATGATACTTCAATTGTAAGTTCTCATGTTTAAATATTACAACACAACAAAAAATATTAAAACAAGGGTTCATCACAATTTTTTAATTACAAAAACTTTCATCGAAGATTTTTGCATTTTGCATCTTAATAGGATAATTAACTTATAATCAAGTACATGCTTAAATCAATTTTAGTATATTCATATCTGTTCAGTCTTCTGATAGACAATATATATGAACTTGATTATCATGGCTATCATGGCTTCTGCTTAAATAACCACACCAATTAAAACATAGCCAATTAAAAAAAAATAAAAAATTCATAAATTAATACATAGCTTTTATATGACACATATATATGACTAGAAATGACAATAGATCGAGGCGAATATGTGATGGTCGTCCCCATATATCATCTCGTCGAAATTTTATGAAAGGCAAGACAAGGATATAATATTTTCGTTCATATCTTTTCGTTAATTAATTTTAACTTTTTAAAAATTTATGAAACAATATTGACATTAAAAATATAAAATATAATAAAATAAGAGATTCAGGATGGAATGGAGTAATTTGAGGTGGGGACAATGTTCTCCTCCTCGCAATAATTACTTAATGGGACGCGACGGATGACGATAAATTATTTTCTTGTCCCTCGATGAATTCGGAGTTGATACCGAATTCTATTTCACTATTAAGAATTTAAAATAAACACAGTAAAATATAGTAAATAAAATATTTTGATATTTTCTAAATTATAAAGATAAATAACATAGAAAAAAGTTTCAAATCCCCCCAACTTTTTTTTGGCCTCCCACCAAAACACGTTCCCTAATTTTAGATAGCTCTTCATCTTCCTCAACCAAAACCCTTCTCTCTTGGGGGATTTGATAAAAAAAGCATAGTCAAACAATGATTTTGATAAAATAACATTCTTTCAATATTTCTTGGTCAAATGGCCTTCATTTATAAAATACAATAAACAAATAATGTCAAATATCTAAAATACCCTCATCATGAAAAATA